ATTTGCCCTTTTCTGATTTTAAATCTATCAGTTTTTACTCTGTATGTTTTGAAAGTTTGCCATACATTTTAGGATTTTATAATTTTAGATGATTTTTTTCTCTTCATCGTTATTCAGTGTTTCTATTTATTCTTGGTAATATTTGCTGTCTTAAATGATACTTTGTTGTTGTTGTTATATGATACTATGCACACCAGAATGAAACACTGCCCGTCCTGCGCCATCTTCACGGCGCTGGTTAAGCTTGAACCTGTTGCTGTTACCACTGTGCCAGTCCATCTCACTGGGGTCTTCCTCTTTTTTGCTGACTCTCCACTTTACCAAACATGATGTGCTTCTATAGGGACTGGCCCCTCCTGGTAATATGTCTAAAGTTTGACAGACAAAGTCTCACCATCCTGGCTTCCAAGGGGCATTCTGACTGTACTTCTTCCAAGACAGATTTGACCATGGTACTTTCAGTATTCCCCTCCAAAATCATAACTCAATTGCATCAATATTTTTACAGTCTACATGATTCCTTGTCCAACTTCACGTGCATTTTAGGCTATTGAAAATATTGTGGCTAGGGTCAGGTGCACCTTAATCCTCAAATTGACAGTTGGTCAGTTTATCACTTTATATATATATATATATATGTAATAGTTTACATGGGAGAACATTAGTTTTACATTCATTCTATCGTACATCGTATCATTGCCATGGTTACAATCCCCTCCATGCATCATCAACCAACCAAAGGGTATACCCTGCAAGCCTGCCCCCTACACTATCCCCCCCCCCCAAGTCTTCAGCACACAGTCGCTCTCCCTCTCTGGATCTAAAGCCCCCAGCTGCTCCATCGCTCAACATCATTGTCTCTGCCTCCATCTCAGGCATCACTGTTTCTCTGGGTAGGGTCCCGCTCTCGGCTCTTCTCTGTTGATCGTCCTAGGGACCTCTGCTCCTAGACTGCAAAGTTAATCACCTCCTTACTTGCTATAAAATGTCTACCTTTACGTTACCAACTGTCACAATCAGTCCTGATAACAATTATTCACTATTGTATCACAAGAGACCCATCTACATTTCATTTCATCAACTCCACCTAGGCAGATTAGATGCTACTCACTGGAGATTCTGCCTTCCTCCAGGCCCCCTGTCTCTAGGTTCCCTCTTGAATGCTTGTAAGCCAGTCACTTCTTGCCTTTGTAGTCCTACCACCCCATTTTGGGTAGCCAATGTCCAAGTTGCCCATCCCTGTTTACTCTGTGTGTGGAGGGGGTGGGAATGATTCTTGCTGTAAGAATTTGTTCCCACTTTTGACCTACTGCTTCCATAGGTGTAGGTCAAGTTCATCAAATTGCATCAGATTACTCTTTTTTTTCCTCTTCTTTCTTCTTCTGGTTCAGCTCTGATCATCCAGTCATTGGAGACAGGTCAAGTGGGTATTATCTGCAAGTGTGGGTGTTCTTGTGCATATGCCCTCTCTTTTTATCAGCTGAACGCTTCACTCTCCATATTGTAGGGCTTATATCACTGGTATTTTAAGTTCCAGAAGGGTCATCCATGGTAGTCAGGTCGTCAGATGAGCTTCCAGACTAACACAGATGAGGAAAAAGGAGAGAAACACTAAATCTGAAAGTGTAGCTGCTAAAAACCTTATGGATAGTTGTGGAGCATTGTCAGATATTATACCAGAAAATGAAAGCTTTATGACTAGCACTAGAATATTGTCAGCTACAGTGCCAGAAAACAAGCCCCTTAAGTTGAAAGGCACTCAAAATATGACTGGGTTGAGGAACACTTTTGAATCCTTCATTGCTAATGTGACTTGATTCAAAATGAAAAGAAATAATCAGAATGTAGAAAGCATGACTCTATAAAAATTATAATTCATAAAAAATGAAATGAGAAACATAAAGATCAATATCCTAGGCATTAGTGAGCTGAAATGGGCTGTTATTGGCCATTCTGAACTGGATAATCCAGTGCTTTACTGTGCCAGGGATTACAAATTGAAGAGGAGTGACATCCTATTTGTAGTCAAAAAGAACATTTCGAGATCTGTCCTGAAATATAACACTGCCAGCGATAGAATAATATCTAGGACCTAAAAGAAACACTAATTAACAAAGCTAGTATTCAAATTTGCATAGCAACCACTAATGCCAAAGGTAAGGAAATTGAAGATTTTTACTAATTTACATATTCTGAAATTAAGCAAACATGAAATCAGGATGTACTGATAATTAATGTTGATTGGAATGCAAAAGTTGGAAACAGAACATAAGGATAAATAGGAAAGTATATGCATTTGGTGAAAAAAAGATGTAGAAGATTACATGATAGATTTTTTTTAACACCCATGACTTATTAATTGGAAATACCTTTTCTCAACAACATAAATGGTAGCTATACATGTAGATCTCATTGAAGGGAATACACAAGAATCAAATCAACTACATCTGTGGAAAGCCACAGCGTTGAAGCGCAATATTATGAGTCCAAACCAAGTTAGGAGTCCTGGTGTGGCACTGTAGGTTAATGCACCAGACTGCAAAGCCATTTGAACTGCAAGGTCAGTGGCTCAAGCTCACCAGTGTCTCCTCGGAAACCCTATACAGGGTCGCTATGGGTCAGAACCAACTCGACGACACTTAGCAACAACAACAAAGCAAAGTTAGGGACCGACTGTGGAAAAGACCATCAGTTCCTCATATACAAACTCAAGTTGAGACTAAAGAGAATTATAACAAGTCCGCAGGAGCTACAATACAACCTTGAATCTGTTTAAAGACCATCTGAAGAATAACTTTGGGGCACTGAACACTAATGACTGAAGACCAGACAAGTTCTGGAATGACATTAAGGGTATCATCAAGGAAGAAGGCAAACAGTCATGGAAAAGATCAATATGGAAGTAAAATAGCTGGACAGAAGAATGGCTTGAGAATACCAACTAAGCATTATAATTAAATATGTAAAGGCTTGGAGCTAGAAAACCTAAAAGGAAGAACATGGTCAGCATCTTCAAGCTGAAAGAACTGAAGAAAAAATCAAAGCCTTGTGTTGCAATATTGAAAAATTCTGTGGGCAAAATATTGAAGGACACAGGAAGCATCAAAAGAGGATGGAGGGGGAAAAAAAAGAGGATGGAGGGATGTAGCAAAATGAGTTGGTCAATGTTCAACCATTTTAGGAGATGCGGTAACATATAATTAAGAACCAGTGGTATTGAAGGAAGAAGTCCAAGCTACACTAAAAGTTTTGGCAAAAAACAAAACAAAAAACAAAGCTGCAGAACAAGAGGCAAATGTCTGAAGACAGAAAGGGGATACTGTGTATTTTAAAATAATGAAAGGTATGTAACAGGGTTGAATCCTTTCACCATACTTATTCCAATCTATATGCTGAGCAGATAACCTGTGAAACTCGTCTATATGAAGAACGCAGTATCAGGGATGGAGTAAGACTCATTAACAACCTGCGATACGCAGTTAACAATACCTCATTTGCTGGAAATAGAGGAGACTTGAAGCACTTATTGGTGAGGATCAAAGACTACAGCCTTAAAAAGGATTATACCTAAGTATAAAGAATTGAAAGATCCTCACAACTGAACCAATAAATAATATCAAGATAAAAGGAGAAAATAGTGAAGTTGTCAAGAATTTTATTTTACTTGGGTCTGCAATCAGTTACCAAGAAAGTAGCAGTATAGAAATATACCATGGATTGTATTGGACAGATCTTTTGCAAATGATGTCTGTAAAGTGTTCAACTGAGAGGATGTCACTTTTAAGATTAGAGTGATCCTGACCCAAGTAATGAATGGTATTTTCAATTTCTTCACATTCTTGGGAAAACTGGACAATAAAATGCTGGGAAAACAATTAATGCCTTTGAAATATAGTGTTGGCAAAGAATATTGATATATCATGGACTGCTAGAAGAATGCAAAAAAAATCATGTTGGGAGAAGTACAGCCAGAATTTTCCTTCTTGTTGTTAAGTGCTGCCCAGTCGGTTCCTACCCATAGTGACCCTGTATAGGGTTTCCAAGGAGCAGCTGGTGAGCTTGAACAGCCAAACTTGCAGTTCAAATGGCTTTTCAGTCTGGCACATTAACCCACAGAGCCACACCAAGACTCCTAGAATTCACCTTAGAAGCAAGAAATTGACTGGATGTTACCTAGTAACAATATGTGTGTGTGTATATATACATGCATGCATGCATTGTGCTCTAATTAGGTGTCATTGAGGCAATTCTGTCCCATAGCATGCCAGCCTTTGTACAGCAGAATAAAGCACCGCCCCATCCTGCACCATACTCACAATTGATGCTACGCTCCAGCCATTGTTGATGCTATGCTTGAGCCACATACATACACAGACACAAATTTTAAGCAACAGATTGCGTTTAGTAATTTCATTTAAATGTTTTGTTTTAATCTATTTTCACAGATTTGGACTGGCACCTATGCACACAATAAGTCATTTACTTTTGTGAGATATGGGGCTAGAAGCCAATACTTGTAAAATCCAATGAAATGTTGTCTTTTAATTTTATAGAGGGAAAATACAGTTGTGAAGTGTTACTATCCTGTTCATTTGATAGCCAATATATTTTGAAA